TGGTTATTCCTTATTTATTTATTTTAAAACCGGCAGCAGTGTGAGGGTCAGGTCCCGTTATCGGTGTAGGTATTGTTCTCGTGGGGGGGGCTGTTTGACTATCCACCCCCGGGGTTCTGAGCATCCCCAGATCACGTGACACAGCAGGTGGGCGGTCTGTAGGAGGGCCATCCTCGGGGTGTGGAGTCGAGCCACTACCTAGTGAATTGTGTAGTTTGATGGCCTTTAATGGAGAGCTTCCCATTCAGGGATCATGCTTTAGATTTGGTTGATTCTAAATCTGTTGCATCGATCCATACGGTTTATGAATTCCCTCCCCAGGGGTAGGGGCCCGTAATGACCTGGGGTCAGACCTGCATGTAATTTTTCTGTAAATACCAGTTCTTTTTTCCCTCCCCAGGGGTAGGGGCCCGTAATGACCTGGGGTCAGACCTGCGTGTAATTTTCCTGTGAATAGCAGTGAATAGCAGTTCTTTTTTCCCTCCCCCAGGTGTAAAGCTGTCATAGATACATGCGGACAGCGAATCAGCTGCAGCCATTTTGTGCTGGAGGAAGGGTACGTTCCAGAGGAGCGCAGGAAGGGTGCGGCTTGCAGGTGAGTGTGAACCCCCCCCCCCCACTGGGGCAGCTCTGACGGACCCCCTGTCCTGTAACCTGTGAGACTCTGCACTGCTTGGCCACTTAAAAATGAAGTGGACTTTACCCATTTACGTAGCTCCAGTTTAATACGAAGCTCACTCAGAGGTTGTATCTATAACGTTGTGTTTTGCGGGCATGGTTTGGGCACCCGTGCATATCCTAAAGGCTTTAGACCGGTGCTTCCCAGTCCGCTCCTCGGGGAGCCACAGAGTCCATATTTTTGCTCGACTGTCTGGCAGGGATCTATCTCGGAGTGAGGAAAAACATGGACCGGCTGTGGGTCCCCGAGGACCGGACCAGGAAGCACTGCTTCAGACACTCACAGGTGCAGCTGCGGATTTAACCCCAGGCTTTGATCTTGCACTAGACAGATCGCAGCACCTTTTTATCCATTAATAGTGATATCTCATAAGATACGGTGCCCACCTCCCTGGTTTTTTGGGGGCTGCAGTGTGTTGGGGCGGCTCCCTGTCTTCCTGAGTGCCCCGCTGTGCTCTCTCCACAGACAGATCTCCCGAGGAGTCCTCATCACGGACCGATCGCTGCTGCCGAGCGAGACCGAGCAGCAGGTAGGCGTATGCAGTACTCACCCTCCAGCCAATCAGACTGCGGCGTTACGGCCCTTGCGGTCTTCTATATCCGTATGGGTTCCTGGGCCAGTTCCAAGCCCGCTGGAAGCTGGGCCAGCATGTCAGAACCGATTTGGCAGAGTGAGCCTTGGCGGTGGCAGAGAGGACCACTCATGCGAAAACCGCGTAATGCTGTTTGTGCGGCCGCCTTGGAGTTTGATAAATAAGCGTCAGAGTCGGGAAATGTGAGGTGACAGGCAGCTGTCCGAAAGGCGTACGGTCCTGGTCAGGACAAAGGCGGGAGCAGGAGAAATCAAATCACGCTTTTATGGCGTGGGACGGACACGTTTGCATGAGATGAATCGCTCGATCGGGGCCCCAGGGGTGGGCCCTGCATAGAGGGAGGGGCCCCTCTTGCTTCTTGCCTGCTGTGGGGGGCAGACAGAAAAAGCAAAATTAATTTTGCTGTCCTGACATGATGTGGAAATGGAAGATCACATGACCGCATGACAAAACATAATTAAATATTCGCCTGTTTTTAATTAGCCGTTCGTCCTTCTGGAATGACAGTCCGGACACTTGTGACGGGAGTGGGGGTCTGGGCTCTCCCCGGTGCTTCACCCCCCCGCTCCGCGAAGGTGTTGGCTCCACTTCCACTGACTCGTCTACATGATTAAAGTGGAGTGAAAGCGGACGCTTTGGAAACATCCTTCAGATGCGTGTAAAAGGATTACGAGGATTCCATTACGGACTGGGAGTTTATTAATGGAATTTAGGGCTGAGTACTGCATGCATGGGTACGCTGGCAAGCCGAGGGTCTGATGGGGCTGCGCTTTGAGTCCCTCTTCCTCGAGTCTCTGATGGCTCCATGTCCTGGTCCCCCTGTCCCTCTTCCTCACGTCTCTGATGGCTCCATGTCCTGGTCCCCCTGTCCCTCTTCCTCACGTCTCTGATGGCTCCATGTCCT